TGTTCCATTTATATAAAGTAATTAGAAATCAAAAACGATTTTCTAGAAAAGCCATTTTTGGCCAGTATGTTACTTTTTTATGTTAAAGTTATGAAAAAAAAAAAAATCCAATACGTAATAATATTTTAATTCATGCAAAACTTTTCTAGTATTTCCAAGAATTATTAAATTAAGAACTATCAATAGTTTAAGCAACAAGAATTCATTTCAAAAAATTTTTTATTGAATGTTTTCGATAATTTTCACAGTATTAAAATGTACTAGTCAATAAATTAATTTTATTGCATACATTGGAGTAATAATTGAATTGTGATAAATATTTTAATGTCTTATGATTTATGAAATTTATTACGATTACATTTTGCTTTATTTAAATATCGGTTGCGTAGAGTCAGAGGAATGTTTCTACCAATTTTTTAGTCAAAAATTATTTTTCTTGCATTAAATGAATAAGAGAAAGTTTTTGGTTGGTTTTTAATTTGATAAAGATTTTTACAACTATAGTTTCAACGTTGTGAAAAAATGCAGCCTTATAATAGAGAATTATTAAAATGCAAACTTTATAACGTATCCACGTAATGGATCCAAAAAAACTAAGCCATGCTGAAAATGGCTCTGGCCCAGCGTTATTTTTCTTTGTATTTTTTTAGACTGACCAGCAGTAACTGGAGAATTTTAAAACTTTTTCAATGGTAAATAGTCTAAGATTGGAAAAATTAGTTTAAATATGTAATCAGCTACATTTGAGATAGTTATAGTAGTTCTGCATAGGAGAAAATGAATTATTCATAGATTTGGTTTAAAGTTTAAAATAATAACATTTGAAATGCTGTTTGGATGTTTTTAAATTATTCATTCAGTAAGTATAACTTGTAGTTTTTTGAACTAAGCAACATAAACTTAAACACATGATAGTGCAATAAATGAAAGTAATGAAATTAATATTTGTATTCGTATTTTATGCGATTGTAACAATTTCTTAGGTTTGTAATCTTGTAGCTTTGTCAGCATTTTTGCAATAAGATTTTTTAAATAATGTAACAATGATATTGACGGATAAGATTGCAGTTTTGCAGAATTGTTTTTATCAAAGATAAGCTTGTTGACAAATGTTCACCTATCTTATAGAATATTTATACACAAATCATAACAGCTATTATTAAGAAGAATCAATCAAATGATGTTAAGGTAAAACAACGTTGATGCATCTTAAGACAATTTTTCTTTGAATTAAAAATAATACGATGTAAATAAAAAAAAGTTCCTGTAGGAATTCCGTTACTACAGTTCAAGATCTCCAAAAAACAAACGTAGATGTATCCACAATGTTTACATGCTACAAGTCTTGACCTCATCAAGTTAACAAATATTTTATTCAAGCGTAATAGTATGTGTTTTATCGATGTAATCTAGGAGGCCCTGCAACCGCTTCTTGATTCGCTTTTGATCGTCGAGCGTGCAGCCAAGAATAGCTGTCTCGAAAGTCTTATCGCAGTAGCCTGTTACATGAGACGAGCACGCGTTCATAAAGGTGGAGCAGCGTTCCCGCGTACCACTCGGATCATTTCGAAGATTTACTATTAAACTATCTATGAGTCCATTTACCTGCAATGCAAAACGAATTTACTCTTGTTCTATACCTATTGCATTTTGTTTACAAATAATTTATTTATGTTTACAATTATAGAAATATACGTGTTTTTAGGGATAAGAAGAGAAAATTGTTTTAGTAACATGGAATTTTGAGAGCACACGAATCCTTATAATATGATAACGTTCATACTTATGAGTTTCTTCAAATAGTATTGAAGCTAAATATAAGTCAAGTTCAGATAGGTTTGATCATTAAATTCTCCATTAATCGCCTGTAAGAATATTTATCACTGCCCTTTTACTAGTAATACAGTTTTGACTTAAGTGTCTGTAAGGAGCTTTATGTCAGCAAGGCTACAACTTAGTTCAATGAATTCAAGAAAAAATAATAGTTTTAAAAAATTACTGCCAATGATGTCAATTGATTATTCTTATTTGATACACAACTTATAACCCGTAATTTGAAATAAAAAAGTCACAAAGATGAAAAATAAGTGCATTATTAAAGTTCAATAAAAATTCTACTTCAATACTGAGATTCATGAGAACCATTATTGAGTCTTGGGTCAACATTGACCACATAAACTTTGTTGTCTCACTGACCATATATATTATATTTCAACTACTTGGTTTTTACTGATGCCTGATATCAAGTGACAGCAACATTTTTTATTATGATCAAACTGGCATTTATTTTTTCATAACTGTCCACTACAAGATCACATACTAAGAATCAGCCGTGCAGACAATTTAAAAAGTTACACTTATAAGTTACAAAAATTCTGTCAAACTTGTTGAAACATCACTTACCAATATTTTATAATTTCTGAACTAGACTTAAGAACGAATTTAAAACTAAAAGTCAGAGAGTAATTTAAATGTGTTTAGATTACCTGATGTAATGCATCCTCTTGGATATCATCGCGTGGTACTTTCACGAGAACATCAATAGTTAAACATCTTGTGTACAATCTCTCTGTGTATTTAATAATATCATCTTTATCAGCTGAAATAATAAAATTGTAAGAATCAATTTACAAATCAATACTAAGATTAATGGCTATAAATGTCTATCTGAATATCACCATTATTGTATTTAGTAAGCTTTATTCCCTGTATCCCTACTGGCTATACTTGAAGCTTCTACATCTCAAACTTAACTTAATGAATACATAAATTTTCAAGTCAACAAGTAAACGAGTGTAAGTAAAAAATTGTGTAATTTAATAACTTGGAATACTAAAGTAACAATCAGGAATGATATTGTGCATGAATCAAAATAAGTTACTCAGAGCTTACATTATAGGTGCTCTATTAGCCACACATAGTCTAAAACTACAAGATTAATAAAGATTTTTTCTAATATTGACAAGGTAGTTCTAATTTAATTCAAATTAGAAAAGACTTAAAGGAATAAAATCTTTATGTAAAAAAAATACTTCTAGTAGTTTGAATGCCAAAAAAGTTCTAACATAGGGCAAAAAATCATGATGAGTGATTGATAGTTTGCTGTTCAATCGTAAGACTCTAATTTATTAAATAAAATTGGAAATGTGTGCAAGAATAGCTATAATAATAAATCTAAATCATATATTTAACAAAATTTAGAATGTAAAAGAAATACATTGTAAAAGGTGAATTTCTACACCAGAAAAATTGTGCATGAAAAGTTGTAAAGCAATGCTGGTATATATCAAGCTAATTTATAAGGAAATAAAAAGTTAAATTATAAAACTCCAAAGCAAAAACTACAGTAAATAGAATTGGAACATATATCTATACTTTGGTATTATTTTTAATCATATATGGCTATCGTTTTCTCATCGTAACGAATTTTAGATAGAGGAGCGACGTAGTAAGGGTAATTACTGACAATAAGAAAAATTATAAAACTGTTTTCATAACAAGTGCTGATAAATTCATCGATAAGTACGAGAAAAAGCGTAAAGAATGACATAACATAGGTACACAGTCGAGAAAAAGACGGTATAAACAAAAAGGTTATGAGCATGTAGGTATAACAGCTGGTAAAGTGTAGAAACTTCTCGAAAATGCGTGTAAGTTCGCGAGTTAAAGGTACAAACAATACACATGTGTGTGTGTATATGCACCTATACAATCTATACATAGAGCAATGCAGACACTGCAGCATACAAAACATGAATTATGAAGTAGAATTTTACTAAATCCATGGAAAATTCTAATTTTACCTTATGCATAAAATGAAATGAAAAAAAAAGACTAGAAAATGACAGAAATGAAAATAATGATATGGATGTATTGTCTGTTACACTTTTTCGTTAGATCTGGGTTTTAAACGTTACTTTCCAACGTTTAAAACTTCTATGCATATTAATAAAGCAAAATATAATTTTTGCAAGAAAAGTTTTGTAAAATATGTATGTAAAATGGCGAATTACATCAATTACCTAGCTAAACAAATTTCAAGTGAAATTTATTGAATATAAGACAAATTGTGTACTTAAATATCAGTATTACAACCGCATTAAAAATGGATAAATCTTATGAAGCATGGCTAAAGAGTACCTGAGTATAACTAAGCAAGAATATGTATGCAAAAATCACTTCCAGGCACTTTGGATCAAGCTGACAATTAAATCATCACCATTCTCTGATACAGTAGCCAATCAGTCCTGACTTGTTAAATATTTCAAGGTAAAAAAGTACAGCTGTGGGCATATCACAGAACTACATCAGGAAAAATGCAACTTACTTTCATCAAGATTGACGACGAGGTCGTTGTTGCGCAAGGTGTCGAGCGTTGTCAGCAAGCCGTCCTTTTCTTCCTCGATTCTGAGGGCTTCCTTCCTGAGCTGCTCGACGAGTACCTCGATGCGATCGAGGACAGTTACGAGCCGGTCCTTGGGCTTGCCCCCAAAGTCATCCATACTCTCTACTATATGGGGCAGCGGACTTCCATCCATGGCCTCGGTTAGCCTAATCCTAACCTTGCCGTCTACTTGGTCAGTAATCTTGGCGCCGTTTTGTCCTCCTTTTCGATCTTCCTCGACTTCCTCTTTTGCTATTATGGTTTGTCTTTTGCCGTATCCTCACTGTTCGCTAGGGGCGTCTGTTTGTTATACGTATTTCTCGAATTAGGTTTTCTCTCTATGTGACTTACAGAGGATAAAAATCACTGATTTCTGTGACTATATGTGTATGTGTGGACGGCAATCGTATTACTTATGTATATTTCGTTCTTACGACGAAAGTCAATTATTTTTATTTTGTTTTATTTTTTCAATACTTAACAGGCAAGGATGATTTATCAAATGTTTAAAGCCGTCGTCGCGCTTATCGCGCAACTTTTCTCGACTAAACTTGACAACCAAACTAAACTCGACTAGCTCGACTCCCACTGCTTACTGTTATTATACAGGTACACACAAGTTTGTTTAGGTAAGTTTCTCGTGTTAATTATTAAGGGTACGTTTTTTTTGTGTTCGGTCGGTCGGTCCGATTCCTCTATCTGTACATCTATATTCATGGTAATCATAGGTATACTGTGGAATGGGACTGACCGACCACAAAAGTCTTAGGCTACTTCTACATTGGGCCTTTGCACGTGCCTTGCACGCAAATACGACAAAATAAGAGTGGAGAATTAAGAGATAACGGAAATTCGTCATCGTAACCCACAAGTGGCGCATCTAGCGGATTTTCGGTACAACTAAAACCTGACATTAGGTTTCAGTTTAAATGTAGCCCGGTAAAATAATCCACGTTACTTATTAAATTAGTTTTATTAATACATTCAGTGGCTTGTTCGGTACCCCCTATCAACTTAATATCGCCATAACTCAGGGAAAAAATGGTAAACGATTGGATTGTACGTGTAGTTTGAAGGCTATAGGCAAGGTGAAAATATAAGTGTAAGCATGTAACAGGTGCACTTGTATATTAAATTTAACTAGGTATATTTGGAGGTCATTAAAATGAAAGCAAACAATGAGAAAAATTTTTAATGACATTGTTTACCAATATAAGTACGAGAAGTCTTCAATTTATAATGCAATTTGCACTGACACAGCACCAAAATGGGGTAAAAAAGCTAAAGATAATGTGAAATATATGTATGAGCTATTCAGTACACTCCAACAAAAATATTGCTTCTTTGGTGTAGACTTACTGATTGTTTATTTTTGGTATGCCATCTGCTTCGCACGATTGCGATTACGGTTTTCCTGGTGCCACTTAATTCTAAACTTTGAAATAGTGTCAGGTTTTAGTTCTACTAATATCTGCTAGATGCACCACTTGTGGGTTAACCCGGTTAACATGACGAATGAAAGGATCAGCAGCGATAATAAAAGAACGAGCAGTCTATATTTCTTATATACATATGTCTATGTGTCGAAATACTATGGAGCTGTTCACATAGACATTTTTTGCTTATTTCATTGTGAACGTTCATATTGAAAAGGGGGTTCCACTGTTCCGCTAAACTCAAATTGAGTGAACAGACTGAACAGACCTATACTGTGTTCTCTGTCAGTCAACATAATTACGACCATAGGCTTTGTTGCTTGATGGAAAAAGAGGTATAGGTCTGCTCAGTCTGCTCACTCACTTTGAGTTTAGTGGAACAGTGGAACCCCCTTTTCAATATGAACGTTCACAATGAAATAAGCAAAAAATGTCTATGTGAACAGCTCCTATAGTTTTTTGAAAATATCTGGTGGGAATCGGGACTCGGGACTTTCGACCTTGTATGGTAAGTATAGTACATTAATACCTTATTCCCACGGTGTAAGATATACCGTGTGTTCCAGTAGCGCTCTCCGACAACTTACCGACAACTTAAACATGACGCAAGACATCGTAAGACATAATTAAGTTGTCAGTAAGTTGTCGGAGAACGTTACTGGAACACACCCTTAGGTAGTCTCATTGCCTATACATGTCTACAATAAATTTTTGTCATTTCCAGTTTCTCGTACCAGGGTCCGTACCATATAACTTTTTTTTGCTTTGCAGGCCTATGTTATGACATAGGCCGATGTACTGAAAAATAGTTACATGGTACGACCCTAGGTACTGCATAGACAGACTCCGAAAAAAGAAAAAAACTGACACGTGATACATACTTTCTTCAGGAATAGGAAATGGGACTAACTGACTGACCACAAAAAAACGTCCCGGTTCTTCTTCGTGACTTAAACAAACCTATAGACTAACCTATTTCATTTTATAGTAGTGACACCTTTAAATAATACACCTTACAAATTTTTTGGTGATTTTATTACAAGTTTGTCCAAAAACGAACCTAATATGAGTAATTCAGCCCTTGGAGCAAGTTTGATTAAAAAACACTGGTCCTTAGGTCTTCTTACTGATATGAATAATCCCGAGGCCAAGTTAAAAGAAGACGATCAAATTGTTGTTATCAAAGACAAATATCCAAAGGCTCGTCATCACATTTTGATTTTGCCAAAAAAAAATATTGCTGACCTTACTGCAGTAACAAGGGATGATTCAAAAATTCTCTATCATATGGATGCAGTGGCGAGAGAATTTGTTAGTCGACACAATGAATATGAGTTCAAGTATGTTTTTGTTTGGCATAATTTATTAAATTAACTCTGTAAGTATATCTACATGTATTTTTAACATCGACTCATAATGCATTTTTTTTTCATTAGAGTTGGTTATCACGCTGTTCCAAGTATGAAACAATTGCATTTACATGTTATAAGTACAGACTTCGACAGTCCTTGTCTAAAAACAAAAATTCATTGGAACTCTTTCAATACCGCATTTTTCATTTCTTCGACAGGTAAAATCACACATGCAATATTCTACCTTGGATGTTTAAAATTATTCTTTTCAAAAAGTCAAAGAATTAAAATATTTATTCCTTAGTTTCTCTAAAATTGACTACAGGAAATAAAAATATGCAATCGTATCAAAAAAATCACAATCTGTAGTATTAACAAGATAATGGGCTCAGGCTTCCTATCCCGCGACCAGAGAATCATTTTGGGTTGGGGTGTATAGAGTATATCTCCTTTTTTTTTTAAATAATAGTGCTCTCTACGTCTGGCTCCTTTGATAAGGGCACTATTTTGGGCATTTAGCATTTTAGAGAAGGAATTAGGGAAGAGGGATGAGAGGCCTCCTCTTAAAGGAGGAGGGTAGAGAGAAATTAGTCAATTTTGCTACAAGAAGGTCAACTAAAGCCTCCTCGAGCAAAGCAAGCACATGTGAAAAATCACAGAGGTACTTGCCCGAAAAAGTCGCACTGGCCGGGAATGGAACCACGGATATGCTAATCCACGACCTAGCCGACTGAGCCACCGTGCGCTCTATATATAGAATATATCTCTTTAGGCATAGAAGGCCAAGCCCAAAGCGTCCAGTTTCTTGATGCTGAAAACTCACGTCCCCCAGGAGTAGTCGGCCCCCCATAAGACAGGTAGCGTTAGTTTCGTTACCTATATTACCAATATATTTTACATGATACCAATATATTTATACTACAAATACAGTATAAAACAGTAATATTCTGTTAGAAAAATAACGAAAATAATAGTTGTCAACTTAAATACACAAATTTTGATTAATAAGATTTCTTCGCAAGACCAATTTCAACATCAAGAAATTGGCCACTTTGGCCTTCTATACATAAAGATATTCTATAATATATTCTATATTCTCTGCCGCGACACACGATACACAAGTAATATTAAAGTTAAGTGTAGGAAAATTGGCCCAAAAAAATCGGTAAAATAAGAATTGATATTTGCAATGTTATTGCACAAAACTTGTGCATACAAATTTGCTCTTTTGGTAGAACCAAACTTCTTTGAAGCTGAAAAAAGGTACAATAAAATGAAAAAATATGTATAACCTTTACAATAGCTGTCTAGAGAAATTGATCAGATCCCACTTCGAAAATATCACATAAATAATTGCGCAAAAAATCATGTGATTAAAAAAAACTAATTTAATTACTTTCACGTAGTTTTTCTATGTTTGTACAACTTCGATAATGTATAACATTATTAAAATTGGGTTTTACTAAAATAATTTAAAAAAGTACATTTATATCACACTAAGCGTAAAGTTCGTACTGTTCTCCCTGTATACAGGGACAGAAACTGTGTAATAAGTAATAAGTGCGTGTACGCATGCGTATCTATATCTTACTGTATATTACTATATACATAAACCAATAAGTGCCTGAAGTAGTTCGGTGGCCCAGTGCTCCCACAGACGGTACCCGCTACGCGCGAAAATTCAAATATGTTTATGATCAGTAAAATAAAAAAGTGATTATAAAATATATTATAATGCTTGATACTCTAATTGCAACGTTATAAAATGAATTACCATTATTATAAATAATTTTTCAGCAATATTCTTTCAGCAATAGTTTATATTAATTATGCGATGTTTATGAAAAAAGGTAAGTAAATAAAATAACGTCTAACAATGATGTAACAAAACAAATTTTCAAAGTTGATTATAGTGTGTGGGGGTATGCATTACATTATATTATGCAGACAAAAAAAATGTTATACTATTACAAAGGTTGTAAAATAGATTTTTCAAGTAAGATGCAATATAACGTATATTTTACATGTATTAACGTACATGTAATAAGCAAATTAAATACTAATAATTGATGATGTGTTTGTTGCGGAAGAATACGTCTTGCCATAGTTAGATTAACAGAATTTAAGTGGGGCAACTTGGTCAGGGGTAATTCTGTCACGGGGTTATTTGGTCACGGGGCAGTTTTGTTTGTGTCGATTCATTTGTTTCTTACCACGATTATTCTTTCGGTTACTGAATTTTGAGCTGATTTTCGAACAGCCCTTCATTATCCTATCATAGGTCAACACTTCCTATTAAAAAATCGTTAATGAACAAGTGGTCTTATCACATTCAAGCATTAAGTGCAACTCAGAAATATTCTTTTTATTTTCACAATATTATTAGTTGGTGCAGCATTTCATAATATTCTGCGTTATCTGAAAACACTTTTAATAAACAAATCTGGTTTTCGTTGATCCACGTTTGTTATTTTGCAGTGCCACAGTAATGTATGTGATACTTAAGGTTGGAATGCTCATTTTTTTAAAGTCTTTCTACCATCTTCTTAGCAACTATATCTCAGTACACAATTTGTGTTATCAAACAATGTTTATTTAAATAAGAGCTATGAATCCTTGACAGAGTTGACCTTAACAACTAAGATGTAATATATGGCTTATAGTATCGATATTTTATAATCTTGAGATTAATATAAGTTACGAAAAAAAATGTTTAAACAAAAAAATTATGTCTTGCTGTGTATTTCTACATCTAAGTAGGTAAATGACTTTATATTTATTCTTTTACAAGCAATAGATAAAAATAAAACAAAACATTATGACTCAATTTTTCAAATAGAACTATTTTGTATACTATTTACAGCAATTATGTCGTTACACTACTACATTTGATTCGACAAATTCAATATTAATTCCTTAATATTTTCACGTTTAATAAGTTCTCTTTCATTGAACCAATTAGTGGCATCCAATGTTGACGACGTGAAGTCTCTTGGTTTCTAAAACATAAATAATAATACATCAATATCGTCCACAATAATTTTTTTAATGAAAAGCAGCTTTATGGAAGAAATAACAATTTTTAGATAACAAGTTCCATTTGATACAAATCATTACTTCATTAAATAAATTTTTTGATTAATAAAAATTAAAATTATTTTGGATTTATTATGACATTTAATACGTATGCATATGGTATTAAAATTTTTATTTTATATTAATTTAGCTACCTTGGGCCAATTTTAAGATTATCGTAATTTTCAAGTTCAATTATAATTTTCAAGTATGCTTATATATTATCAATTTAATGTAAATTATAAAATTTACTGTCTTATTTTTTAATTGTACAGTCATATAGATAGTGGATATTATTGGTTACATATTTTTTTTTAATTTGTAGAAAATTGTTTACTTGCCAAAAAAAAACATTCGATGAATTTCAATACATACAGACCGCAGTCAGTGGAATTTTTTTGTTGAGGTATGTATGCATAAACATGAGGGAGAGTAGTTTGAGTAAAAGGTGTATCATTGAGACCAGATTTACTTTTGTATTCGCAGTTTAAATAATCTCTGATAATTTCCACTTCTTCTTCTCTCCGACCACGAATAAGTGAATCAAATAATACAATACAGGGTCTAGAAAATAAATCATATAAACCATTGAATTTAATAGAATTAAAATTAATTTACAAACAGTGCCAAAAAATTTATGCTTCAATAAATAATTATAAATTTTTTTTAATGGAAGCTAGCCACTGGATCTAGTTTTTGCGCTCGAAGATTATTAACAGAAATTACAAGCATCAGAGACCGGCGGAAAAGACAGGCCGTATGCGTTCGATCACTGCTGCAGAGATCGGCGGAACAGACAGGCTCGATGATGAACACTTATAAATGAATTCACTCACTTTTGCGTATCATTAGTATTCATAGCAGTTTTTCCTCCTTTTTTTCCATGCACGTTACTGACTTTATTTGCATAACACACAATGACTACAAACCAATGTTCACTGTAAATAAAAAAATTATTCATGGCTTACAATTTTCGAGTTTCCAGATAATAAACAAAATTTTGCGACGCATAATCAGCGAAGCAGGTAAAACATTTTTCTTATGATGACTATAATTTGAAAATATTGCAGGAACTTTTGCTATTCAATTGTGTTAATCATTAATGATTACTATCAAAGTTACTGATTACCTAGTTAATCATAAAGGTGTCTAACAGTGTAACCGCACCAGATACTTTACCTGACAGTGCGCCGGAGTAAATAGATAGTAAAAAATATGTACCGTATATTAATGGGAATGATTATAAAATCCTTCGACAGTAAATGTACGTGCTTTGTCCACGCCTTCACTGACTGATGTCGTAATACAGGATTTTTTTCGAGACACAGACAAAAAAAGAATACACAGCTAAAGACGTAGGACCTTTCTCTGTCTGTTTTATCGATCACTTCCATCATTATGTACTTTAGATAAAAATCTATTATTATATCTGTCAGGTATTCATACCCTGACAAGCAATCTAAGTTCGCAGTATAAATTGTCACCCCGTCGGTATGTGGTGGTGGAGGATAAATCAATACGATTCTACAACAAAAATTTTTATGCACAATACAAATGTAACAAAAGAAAGAGAATAAGAATGATTTTAACCGTTGCTAATACGAGATATACGAGTGAAGCATAATTATATTGATGTTCAATTATTCATGTACGTACTTATTCCTGTCATTTGCAGGTGCAAACGAGGGTTGTTTACCATTTACATGAGATGATGGTACTTGTAAGGGCACAGGTTCCGTACGTATCAGCTTTGCTGTAACTTCCTGTAGTATAAAATATTTTTATAAGCATTTATAAAACAAAAAAAATATATTTGCTATAATTTCATGAGTTTTATAATACATGTATATAACATCGCGTATAATTTTTCCTCAAATATATTTTTAACGATTAAAACATCGAAAAAACATTAAAAATTTTTATTTATGATAGTAGATAACTTATGAGAACGACTAATATGTTTGCTATATCCGTATCATACAAGTAGTGACAATTAAATAAAAGAGATAGGATTTCTTAATGAATATAATATGTATATGGGTGATTCTCCCGTAACTGGCTCAAACCAACTTTAAAATTTGTTGAAAAAAAAAATTGGTTAAAAAAATTTGTTTCGTGGTGTTTCTATTGTAAATGCCATGAATGACAAACACCTGCAGCGATTTTGCTACAAAGTTTTTTATACTAAAGTTATACAAGATTTTATGAAAGCGAATTTTAGTCAATTTTTCAAAAAACACGTCTGTTTCTGGTACGTTTAGGTCAGCTGCTTTTGTAGCTGTGGTGTTCTAATT